GGGGGGGCGCTACCAGGCCCTTGCGCCCTTGGAGGGGTGTCCCGTGGCTCCCCTTCAGCCGGGCGGTGCGGGGCAGCCGGCGGTACCGGCTTTGCCCCCGTGGCCGTGGCGGCGAGTAGTTTTTCCCCCGCGTGGGGCTGCGGCGTCGGCGGAGCGTGTGGGGCTGTGGGCTGCCGGTGGTGTCTTCCTGGGGTAACTTGGGTTGTGCTTCTTCACACGTAAAGTGGCACATCAGCAATAAACTTCCCACTAAAAAGTAGTAAGCCCAGCACGGAGTGGGCTCTGAAAGAAGCTGTAAGTGAATTTGCTTTTTTGGGGGGGAGAAGGCTGCTTGTGTGAGTACCTGCTGTGTGCTTGGTTTATGTGTAATTTTTTTCCCCGTCTTTTTCACAGTTACCTGTGGCTCAGGTTGGGTCAACTCGTTGGAGAGGGCAGGTGTTGAGTCTTGGTGTTTTGTGAGGCTGTGAAATCTCAACTCTTTCTTAAGTGTACTTAAAAGATTTAACATTGGTTGTCAACGTAATTGACACAGGTGCATTTTCCAGGTACATGGGCTAGCTACACAAAATTGACTTACTTGGGAAACCTTTTAAGCAGCAGTCCTCAGATCCTCCCTGCATTCTTAACAGTATCTGCCTGCTCTTCCATGACAGAGATAAGCTAAATCTCAAACCTAGTACCAGTTAATATAAAGCTAATTGTAACTTATTTACTTGAGAATATCGCTGTGCTCTAATTTTCTCCCGGTTATGTTTCATTGTAGTTTGTGCCCTTCGTAATGGTGGTAGAGAAATGTCATCGGAGGAAGCTTTTTCAGAGTGTTTAACTGTTGTGAGCTGTGCAGTTATCTTAAATCATTTTATAAAACCTCTGAAACATTTTATGGAAAACCCCAAAAAGATTGGTGAGGCATTCGACTCTATGTGTTTCCTGTCACGAAGTATAAATTAAAACCAGAACGGGGAATACTGCTGTCACAAATGCTAAAAGCATGAACTTGCACAGTCAAGCTTTGATTTTATTTTTTTTTTTTTTTATGGGTATGCATTGAAAACTTGAAGCTTGAAAAACATAAGAGAATTCCCTCTCTCCTGCCCCAACAGATTACTCCTAGGTAGAACGTGCTTATTATCACAATGGGCTTACCTGGTTTTTACACTTTAGGTTCCTTCTTATGACTGAAATCTTGCACTATTGACTCAGTGTTAAAATAACTAGCTCTGGGATTTTGAAAGGCAGTGTTTCCTTTTGGAATCTGACTGCATGTTGCCTTCACAAGGAGGCCTCGTAACTGAGGGAAGGCAGAAGCAAGCATTTATGTGAAGCCTTAAAATTATGTCAGTCTAGAACTGGTGTATGTTTAGGGACCGCTGCTTGCAGTTGGTAGGTATAGGTATTACCGTAGAATAAAGAATCGGAGGCAAGAAAATACAGAAATCTAATCCCTGCCTTAAGGCAGGGCAGAGGTGTGACTAGTCAATAATAGGATTTTAAAGCAATGCTACTTTGACTTTTCTGTAAGTGTCTTTACAATTTTACGTATTAAGAAGCAGTATGTGGGCTTCTGGATTAGAGAGGAGATTGCAACTCTTACGAGAAAGGTTGACCTCAGAGTGGGCACTGAAATCCTGTTCCTGTTGAGAGTTCCTGGTGTTACACAAGTTGTGTCTGTGGATGGCAGTGAGAACGTAGGGTTGCAAGAGGTGCCCCTGGCTTTGACAGCTATGTTATCATGGGGGTTCTTGATGGCTAAATAAATTGAGATCTGGCTGCCTTTTTTGTTTTGCGAAATGATCTTGAACTATCAGTGCGTTTGTCTTTGGAACTGAACCACTGATGGTAATGTGTAAGCTAGATTGCAGTGCATAATGTTTGCTCGCATGAAGATCCTGTCTGTAAGACCCTGCATAAAATGCTCACGATGGTTATCGTGTTTGCCTCTGCTAGAGGTTTCTGTGGCTGCTTGCTCTCCTTGTACAGTTGAACCAAGTACAGCAATAGCCATACATTTCCCTTTATTTTGAGCAAAGTGCTTCCCAAATGGAGGCAGGGCAAAGGAAGCAGTCCTGTGGCATTAAAATGCGTTGACCCTTGGGTTAGAAATGGCCTTGGGGTGGTGGACTTCATGGAGAGCGGCCTGTAGAGTGGTTTGGGTGGAGCTGCATTAAGGCTAAAGCTGAGGTGTGGAGAGCTGCCTGCTTGATATGTGCACTGAGGATACAGCTGTTGATCCTGTTTTACACTAACGTTAAACTCCCACATTTCTCCTTTGACCCCTTGTTAAATGTGGGATACAATGGTGTTACGTTGGAAATTTTTATGGCACTTTTATGTAAAGTGTTTATGAAAAGAAGAGGTACTTGTATGGTATTTAGTCATTCATGATAAAATATCCATACATATAAGACAAAGTCACAGGGCAAAAACGTGCCAAGGGTGTTTTTTTAAACACAAAGACAAAACTTCAGATATTTCTGGGCTGCTTATAAGAACAAGCTGGATATATATCACTTTATATTTATTCTACTGCTGTCATTTTTTTCCCTGAGCTTTGTTATTAGCCAGTGTTAGATACAGGATAGTGAGCTACACAGGCCGTTGGACCATCCCGATACAGCCGTCCTTGTGTTCTGTAGTCGAGTTCCAGCACGCTCAGGGTACGCACCATCAGTATCCCTGGAACAAACTTCTTCAGTTTATCACAAGGAATTAAATGCGCTGCTTTGGCAAAGCTGACATATCTTCTTTACATCTTTTAACTGAGGGGAAGTGGTTGAGTGATGATGAAATCTAGTTTTCTGTCTTTTTTTTTTCGTTTGCTGCTAACATGCTTTAGACATTTTAACTGAAACATCTCATAATTGTTCTCAGATCCAAAGCTACAAAATATTTGGTAGACGTGAGGTAACTTCATTTGGAACTTGGTTTGGAGTGTCATCACTTGAAAACTGAATGGAAAAATAAATCTGCTTTAGATTAAAGTATTTAATATATTGAGCATATGAGCAGCTTAACTTCACAATGTTGTTTGTATCAGCAGGATGCTTTATTCAGCTTCAAAAGCCAAGGAGATGTGGATTTACTTTGCCTGTGGTGCTTTGAATCTTTGCAAAGCAAAACAAACTTGTGTTTCCAGGGTTGTACAGTTCTTTTCAAGTGACTGTCTAGCCTTTTACATTCTCCTTACTAAAGCTGTAAACGGTTGAAATACCAAAGCCAAGAAGGTCCATGTCAGGGAATTTGCTATGTGGCGCGGTAAAGAAGATAAAGCCAGTAGGAGTCATGTGCTAATACAATGCTGCCTGTCTTTAAAATAAATACTGAAGGGGAAAATCCTGAACACCTTTCCCCCTCCCTCACCCCAAACTGCAGGAATTAAGTTTTCTTCTATCCGGTTTGGCATATTACGTGTGTAATTTGTTGTATATGTACTCTAGTAACATAGGGGCCAAGTTAATTTGTCGCTTTGTCTCGTTGCTTACGAATATGTGGGATTGATCACTGCTGTCTGGGTGAAAGCCTTATCCTGTGGATGTGGCAATTCACTGTCCAGTATTCACTGTCCAAACTATCTGTTTGGTTAAAGGTTTATAGCGGGCAGCTGAGCTCCTTGAAGGACTTTTCTTTGGGATAGAGGTAGATCTCTGAAGTGCTGGGAGCTCTGTCTTTTTGTCTTTCGTTGCATGATTCATGCCAAATTTTGTTTCAGATACCTGATGTTTTGCCTGCCCAAAGCTTACTGCTGTAGACTAACAATAGCAATTTTATTTGTATGTTGTTTTGGAACCCTTTGAAACAAATGTCATTCACTTCAAGATGGCTGTATGACAGAGTTGGGTAATGCAAATCTTGTCTGTTGATTATGGAAGTAGATGACTAATATTTTTGTAAAGCAGTGCTAGCATATCTTTAAATACCAAGTGTTTTCTAGATGTGTATGGTTGTTAGTTGAGTGCTTGTGGACATATTTAGATGAAAATCGTGAGAGTGTGTATGCGTGTTTTGTATCTGTGTATGCAATGACAAGTCAAGCAAATTGTCTTATACAAGATGCTAAACTGTATTCCTGGAGTAGCACACTGAAATTTCTCTGCAGTGAGTAATAAAGTGATAAAGAGGCAAGGATTTCTTGAGGGCTTTACTGTTAGCTTGCAACAGCCTTAGAATGTGCAAGACAAAAAATCTGCAGCAATGTCTTGCTTGAGGCTAAAGTACAGAAGGCTGAAATAAACTTTTGTAACTTTTTCAGGTCACCTTGTAATGGAAAAAATGGAGCTGACCAAGACATTGCTATGGAAGGATCTAATGATTTGTTCATAGGCAACTGTGGTAGTACAGGAGAGTCAGAAGCAAATGATCGGGTTTTTTTCAGGTGATGTATGAATGTCCGATCTTTGTGGATGCTTTCTTTACATTCTCTCTGAATTTACAGTATGATATTAAGTCAATGTGGTTCTTTCTTGCCTTTATGGTAATACATTGTGTCTTTTAAACAAGTACTAGAATTTCTTCCCTTGGATTCTTGTGCCATTCAGGTTTGAACTGGTGAATATCCAGATGTTATAAGTAATGACAATCTTTAGTAATTATATTAATAGATCCTGTTATAGTGCTGAAGAAATATACGTTTTATTGTGTTAACCAAATCCTTTAACAAAAGAATACTTGGTAACATGCCTTGGAGTAGGAGGGATTCAGCGCACTTGAAAATCAGGTCAAATTGCTTAGTGACCAAATGTGGCAAATAAGAATCCAGGGACACAGGACATCTGTGTGTACGTATTGGAGAAGGGGAGTCTTTGATATATTTAGTATCAAATATTGTCAGATATTCCTAGTCAAAGAGATTTCTGTGCGTAAATGTTCTTCTGCAGATTACTTCAGCTAACAAAATATCATTCAGGTGGTGATTTAGTAATGTGCTTACAGTCTCTACACAATGTCTTTAACACAACTAGTGCCACGTATTTGTTGATGCTTTTCTGGTGTCGTTTACAGTAGAGAGTTTCAGCACAGAAGATTTATACCTGCGGAATTTTTGAGAAGGTTATTGGGCCCAGGTCTGACTTTAATATAAAATTTAGAAACATTTTTCTCCACTCTTAGCATTTGTATTTTACAAATTTTTGTAGCAGAAACACCAGAGTTGTTTGTGTGATTGCTGCAAAATTGCACTTCTTGTACTGGCCAAATGACAGGCAGCCTGACATGATATTTTACAAAAGGGCTGCCTATTTTCCCTTATTTTTAGATGTTTAATGTTTGTGTTGTCAGAATTTCAACAAGACGATTATTTGTGCTTAAACATTTAAATTTAATGAAAATGGGATGTGCTGCAAGACCTTGATTCTGCAGGCTTGATGAGAATAAACTCTTGAGTACCTGTTTTTTTGAGACTTGCAAAATCTGGTTCTTGGTCTTGCACTGTATTATTCTTGGACTTGAATTGGTGGGTTTGTGTTGCTTTTGTTTGTTTCTTCCGTGGTAACAAATTAAGAAAGTGTATAGAGATTTTTGTCTTCATAGCTAAATGCAGTATCTAAAGGTCAAGTAGAATAGTATCTGGGACTTCTTTTGAAGTCAAATCAAGTTGGTGGATGTTTTACAGTTTTGTTTTTGGTATACGTTCTCTCAGTTTCAGGGTAGACTTAAGATGTTTTAAAGTGATGAGTGGTTTTGGGGAACAGATTTTTAGCACAAGGGATTTTCTTTCCCCTTAGTAGAGAGAGTTTGTTCTAGGAAGCAGAAATATGAATACATTTTCAGCATGGAAATAGAAAACAAAAATAGGACTGCTGGTGTTAGCTAGTAGCCCCTTGATCAGAAGGACAAGAACTCCCTCTGAGTATACAATACAGCACACTGATTTTAAGTGTTCTATTCTCTTTTTTTTTTTTTTTTAAATAGGAATTGCTACTCACATTAAAGTACATTTTACCAGTTTTCCTCTGTGAAAGCATCTAACCTGCATGGATTCCAGGGATCCATTGTTTGGACAGAGTGACTCTCCTGCAGCCTTGCCCATCGCAGGACGCCTCTCAGGAGGTTCTCCATCATCAGCTGCGCCTGCACGGCCACCCCAGCCGCAGCCTCATTCTGCAGAGGAGTTCCACCTGGTAGACCAAACCGGACAGGCTCTCTATGAGCTGCAGCCCCTAGGAGGGCCCAGTGCACAGATGGTGAGTGTGTCTGAAACAGGGCAGGTGGCGTATTCACAGATGAGGGAGCTCGTTGAAGAACTCTTTCACATAGTGCTTGTTTGTTGTAACAACAGCTGATTCAGACTTCAGGTGAAACTTTTCAGTGGTTCAATTCATGCTCCGGTTGCCGTTCCTCAGGTAGGCAAATTCTGTCTCCAACCATTACTAATTTTATTAAACAACAACTTACGTCTTTTGTCATTATCAAATCTGTATGTTACTGTGTGATGAGATTTCATACTTCTACCACTGCTGCTTTCTGTATATTCCCTGGATAAGTCTCTCTGGTTTTGGGGGGACTGGAACATTAGCAATAAGCTAACCCATTATGTCTCCCCCCTCTCCTCCCAATTAATTTGCTTAAAATATAGCTTTGTAATTCTTAACACTTCTTTTGTTAAAAGGTAACTGTCTCACCCAGAGGGTTTGATTGGCATGTGTTGCACTGGCACTAAAGACGCTTCACTCGTTTAAAGTGTAAACAATCAGAAGCAAGATGATATTTTATGTTATTCTAAGTTTTATAACATTGTTGGGAACAAGTCGTTGGTAATTATGGGAAAATTTACTGTAAGGAGTTGTTTATTTTCCAGAATTCGAGGAGATTTAACTTATTTTTTTTTTTAAGTGTTGGAGCTTTTCTTCTATCTGCTTTTGCATAAAATAATGCCCATAGAGGTCAATTTCTTAGGAGTAAAGGTCAAAATTTTAATATGTTGTGGTTTATTCTGCTAGTCTGTGAATGGGGTTACAGTGAATCCACCTGTGAATGGCTTTCAAGTTTTTGATAGCTTTAATAAGTGTTGTGAGTTTCAAATAAATGTGTAATTCATAGCAGAATCCCATAAGTGGTTTTGTTTTTTTTTTTCTCTCTCCTTTAATCAGTTAAAGGCTTATTTTAAAAGTGGGAAAGTAATTTTAAGAAATTGACAGTAAATAGACAGTTTCCTTATGTGAAATCAAGTTAATTTACAGGCCCTAATTCCAACCAAAATTTTTCCTGTTCTGGTAATAAGCAAGCCCAGTTGTACTGCTTGATGATCACCATACAAACTAGCGCCATTCATGCTTTTGTGCGATTGCCTTACAGATGATTGTTGCCAGTCAGTCAGAAAATGGACAGGTGCTGCATGTCATTCCTTCGGCCCAGCCAGGAATGGCCCAAGTGATTATTCCTCAAGGTCAGCTTCTTGATGTGACCAGCACACAGGGTGAGTTTAACCTGTGGGACTTGAGGGTGTGTGTTCCTGTGACTAAGCATATCCTGCGTGATCTCATTTTAAGAACCTTGTTTGTATGTGTTTCCTTTTGTTAGTCAGTTATAAGACAAAAATACATACTTACTGAATCTGCTTTCTAAATATGAATTTGGTACCCCACACACCACATTTTTCTGTTGGGCAAAAGCCTTATGAAATAAGAGCTGTTATGCTTACTTCAGATATATGATGGGTAAATTGAGTTATCAAGCACAAAGCTGCTTCTGGCCCTATTTACCATTAATAAGGATATTTGTGCTGAGTCAGACAGCTGTACTATCAGCTTCAAATTTTCACCTTTTTTTTTTTGTTGTTGTTTACTTAATTTTGAGTGAAGTAGTAAATTCATGTAATGCAGGCAGAAGAATTAATGTTTTTCTGGTCTGTTCCAGAGATTGGTGGTGTTGATGCATCTTCTGTGAAACCAGGAATGAAGTACCTAATTAGAAATTAGTTCCCAGTGAAGAAAATGAGATGTGTCTCTCACTTCATTGCTAAGTTTTCTCCCTCAGTGCGTTAACTGTCACGTTTTAAGTACGTGGTGAGATGCACAACCGGGAGCATGAATTTTAAGCTTTTCTCTAGAAAAGGGACATACTGAAACCTGAAAGCATTGATTACTTGTCTGCAAGCCTTGCTGGGTGGCAAAATGCTGTGTACTAGCTTACGTTCACAAAATAAGACTGAGAACTAGGTTATCACATTTTGTTAAACTCTTTAAGGTTTTTAAAAATGCTTTTACCTTTTCTGTATAAAACTTTCAAAATCTGAGAAAATTCTCAAAATTTGAGTGCTAGTTAGGTGCTCTTGTGGAATGAGAGCTCAAAGGTAAGACTAGAGTCCTGATGCTGGGTGGATACAGAAAAGAGTTGGGATTCAAGTCACAATCCAGCCTTTTCATGTAGAGTTGAAATACAGTTTCATGACCGTGCTGGCAGCTACTACCATAATGCTCGTCCTTCCCTCCCTCTCCACCTGCTCTTGCCGGGCTAAAAAGACCATTTGGTTACAGTGTAGTCTTACGTGATTTTAAGCTGACTCTGAGCCTTTTGTTAACAAAGAATTGCTGCTACTTTTTGTAGGCAATAAGTTGCAATGCTGAATAGTATTTCTGTATTCCCATTTTTCATCCTACATGGGGCTCCCTGTTTGCAAATAGCTCAGTTTCACAGTATTTGAATATATGTTCTGCAATGGTGCTACAGGGGTTTTTGGTGGGTTTTTGTTGTTTTTTGTTGTTGTTTTTTTTTTTTTCTAGAGACTTACTGTGTAAAAGACTTCATAGTTATTTGATCTTTAAAAGCCAGTTAGGAAGACTTGTCAGTGGTTTACTATGGAGAGTAAAGGGGAAGGAGAATGGACTGTCAGCCCTCGAGTGTCACTTGCCTGCAGGTGGTGGCCATGCATGAAATGGCACAGGCTTCAGAGTAGACCTTAGTGTCTTAAGGGCGCGTCTGTGCAGAAGGAACCAGTGCTCTGAGCTTTGAGCCAGAATGGTGTTACTCTGAGGTGCGCACTTACGAATCTTCTGGCAGAAGCTTTACAGTGGAGTGATTTCTGGACTGAGTCAATGCTTATCATTGTCTCTCGCAATGGGTAAAGAAACTTTCATAATTGAAGGGAAAAAAATCCTGCCTCTAAAGAGAGGTCCCTGTTCTTTATGTTGAGACCAAAGTATCCAATGTCTGCTTTCACAGTTTTCCATTACGTTTTTGTTTAACTATACACACAGCCTTCAATCTAACAGTATTTTTTGGCTTATGGATTTCTCCCTGTTATCAAGAAAGACTAAAACATTTGTTCTAACAGCGTGTCAGATTCAATTACAAGAGGCCTGTGTTTTCTTGTTTAGGTGTTCTTTTCTGAGTACAAAGCAGTATCATAATTTTTTTTTTTTTTTGTCTTTTTAAAAGCAACCAGTGTGTGATTTGCAGCTGACCAAAATAGTTGGATAATCCTATATGGATTTGTGGAAATGTAAAGCAGAGTAATTTACAAGTTCTTCTGATTATTTGCTTTGTTGTAGAAGGATTCATTAGCAGTAACATGGTTATCAAAATCCTTGAGTACAAACAACCTTATCAAGTATATCTTCATGTGTGTGCCTAGAATTTGAGTATTGATTCACAACTATTAAACTACTTTATCATATAGACATCTTATGTCTTATGTCAAAATGTTTGCTTTTCCAACACACAAAGTTTAATCATAGTTTGTCATTTCCCCATTCTGAGTTCAGTTATTAACCAGGAGGCTGTTTTATTTTTGCAAAGATGTTTCAGAAGAGAAATGTGGTGATGGGAACTTGCAGACCGTGGCGGTGGCTGCTATAGCAGACAGTGCAAGCAGTTACATTCTACATCCACAGGCATCTCTCACTATATCAAGGAAGACAACCACCAGGTAAGTCAGGAGTTAAAAAGATGAACAATTGGTTTGATCCCCTATTAGTACTGTCTTTTTTCTTGCAGTTTGTTTTTGCAATGGTTATCACAAAATTACCATAGAATAGAGGTTATGAACCATTTGTGTTAGTCAATGATCTGTAGCTAACTGTGTGTGTACGCAGCTTTTGTATGTGCCAGAGCAGTGGAAAAAGCAATTAAAGTACCTGTATTCCAGAGATAGCTGGATATATTCTGACCAGAGCAATAGGTGGGCATTTAAAGTAACACAGTGCAAATTTCAGTAATTCCTCCAAATAGACACTCATATTGCCAACCAAGAATTGAAAGTGATCCAGTGAAGGAACTGCAGGGAAAGTTGAAGTTTGAGGGAGCAGAGTTTCTTGTATAAGTATATTAAAAGCTACATAAACCATCTTCTCACAAGAAGGGTTGATTGAAGAGATTAATATTTTAGAGATTTCAATAGTTGGCATTAACAATCTGAACAATAGTTGACATTTAGTTAACAATTAACAGTGATTGACATTAAATCTTTGTTCTCTGAATAACTTCTTCAGCTTCTTTTGCTAAAGTATGAGAAAGTAGCCGCTAACAGTGTGTTTCTGTGGAACACATAGGCAGATTGGTTAACAAAGTTTCTAAAATGAAAATAGTTATGTTTGTCTTCTCTTGATATCCACCTAATTCTGGCCCTGTGCTAAGTGATGCCTACTATTTTAATTCCTGAATGCTCTGGGATTCTTTTTTGCTTAAAAAAAAAAAACCCAAAACAAACAAAACAACAACAAAACCCAAAGACAACATTTGTTCTGTGAGCTGCGGGCTGGCTTTGCATTGATTTTTATGCTCTTTTGAAATCAAGACATGGAAGAGATTAGAATAATCTCACTACAGCACAGGTTATATATGTGCTCAAGAAACATTTAAAGTGAAGAGAAACAGTTTGTGAATGGATTTTGTGAACAGAGTCTGTACATGTTTGAAAAATAATCCTGGAAAGGAGACATATTTACATGGGCAGGAGGTGATGCACTTGAGTTTTGTAATAATGAACATTGAGTAAACATTGTTTCTGCCTCAGGTTTTAGGAAATGGAGAAACTACATACTTAAAATAGTTATTGGAGCTGGTTTTCAGTATTTAAAATATACTAAAATGTGCAGCATTTAATAAGTGTTTGATACTGGTTTTAATCTTTACCATTTTAACATCAGTCTGCATAAGAAAATTATCAAGACAATCAACTAGTCTATTTCACCGTGTTTTGTCTATTGTGGTCAAGCAACAATACTGAGAATACTGAATGCTCAGAGGTCTTCTTGAATATAGAAAACTGTGGGCTTTTTAAATGCTTATATTTACTGTTAATTATTTTAACAATGGAATAGAATACAGGGAAAACGAACCCCAGGTTTTTAAGGCAAGTTGATACAGTATCTGTAGTTTGATCATATGCTGTAGGGTTATACATAATGCACTGATTTGATATGTTACCTGTCGTTTAGATTAAATTGTTGCTTTCTAGCTGTCTGTATAGACTTTTACTGTATTTTTTTAATTATTTTTCAGAGTACTGGAAGATTCCTTTCCCATCCCTCTGCAGCCATTGCCGCCAAATACACCTGCATGGGCGCGCCGTCTCAGGAACTGTGAGGTGGGCTGCAAAGAATTCTGACTTGATGTTTTATCATCTAGGTCTAAGATGTTGATCCTATTCCGTGAAAGGAATACTGTTGATAGTTGCAGAAGCTGTGTTCAAGCTTCCTGGTATTATGAAATAGTACTGGTACTAGCTGGTACTACTAGCATATTTAAACGCATCAAAAGCTGTGGAATCCCTTCCTTTTTTGGAAATACTAGAATAGGTGTCTGTTAACAGCTCCTGAAGTAAAAAATGTGCTTCTGAAATCTCGATGCCATACAGTGCTGGGAAAAGCCACTGATTCACATTGTGTGCAGTGGTAGAATTCACTCTTGAACTACAGTGCAAGCTCTGCTGTCTTCTGCTGAGCAAACTGGGTTTTTGTTGCACTTAGTGATCCATTAAATAAAAAATAAAATCATGTTTGTATAGCCTAAGTCTGCAACAGTTCATATTAGTTTGTGTTGTCAGTTAGAAATCAAAATCCACGTGACTTGCCACGATCAAGTCTGGGACTTAACAGAGCACCTTAATATCAATGTTTTACTAAGGATTTCTATTTTAGGTATTCTGACAGATATTTTTTTTTTTTTCTTTATACCAGCATTGTTACCTGTGCTTGGTTTCTCTTTTGTTAAAAAATGCTCTTTGTTCCCTGGGATGGCTTTTGACCTAAACAGAACTCTCTCTTTTTTTCATATTGTTAGTCTGCAGAGCTATCCTGATGACTGGGATGATATCAACAGCTAGAATGCATCATAAATCACTTAAAAGGAAGGGAGGGGAGAAGGGAATATTCTTGAAAGATCATCTACGTCTTCCTTCTGCTACCAGACTGTAACTGATAGATGTTTATTTTACTTTCTCTCAATACTTTTTAAAGGAAAACTCATACTCTCTCTAGCTGGTTCACCTCTTTAGGTATCCCTGCCATTCAAGGTTTTTTCTATTGGCTTGGCCACTGATAAGTGGAAACTGCAGTTGCAGGGACTTAGAAATGGAATTTCTTTCTGTATCCACTTAGAAATAATTTTTAAAGTAACTAAATGTATTAATCTATTCTCTTTTTGTTATATGCCATTTATTTCGTATAAATGGTCAGAAAAATTAACAACGCTAATTCTTCCATGGTGGAGATACTGTTTTCACAGAATAGGAGTCACTTCATTCAAATGGACAGTTAGTTGTTAAAAGTCCAGGAAGATGTATAGCCCCTGTTACTGTGCTTTTAGCACTGTGGCACATGCTTTCCTGTCTTAACGTCGATGTAGCATATCTGAATCATTCATTATTGGATTCATTTTATAGGAGGACTTGTATTATGGTCTGCTTGGTCTATCTGAATCTACAAGAAATTTCACCTGCTGTGTTTAAAATTCACAGCAGCAGCATTTATAGCACAGTTTTTATTTTTAAAGAAAAGAAAACCAAAATACTGTGTGTTTGAATGTGTTCTGAGAATATAAACATCTGCCTCTGCTGTTCAGCAGAACGGTTGCCTGTATGCACTAATCCTCCCTGTTCCTTTAAAAAAAAATTATTTTGTTGCTATTCTTCCTACAGAGTCAGCCCATACAAGGAGGAATAACCCAAATTCTCTTCCTCCTTGTGCGTTATAAGCAGAGTTGCTTTGCTGAGTTTGTCAGTTACACAGTATAAATCAGCTGGAGACTTCTAGGATGCACATGCCTTTTCGTGGATACAGACTAGAGACAATACGATTTTGAGGTGTCATTTATTTTTCAGGTGTCACTGTCTTGCAGAATATTTTGTTACCAGGATAGAAGGGTCCAAATGGAATTTGGAGATCTAGTAGAGGTGCAGATAAATGTCGCGACTCACAGTTACGCTCTTTCAGTCACTTGCCAAAATAGAAACAAGCAGTGCTGTGGTCTGTATGAATTTCACAGAAGGTGCCAGCAGGTGAAGCTATGGCATGGCCTCTGTACGTGCTCCCAATCTGTTGGAAGAGACTTAACTGAAAAGTAAAATTACTGAAAAGAAAATTGGTTCTGTTTTACCTCAAACCAGGACAGAATCATGTATGCTAGGGATCCGGCCAAGACTGAGCTCCAAAGGGCAGTGACTCCTCTGGCAGTTAGTACTGCAGGCAAACACAGAGCAGTAGAAGCTGCAGCTGTCCAAAATTAGCACTAATCTCTGTGTTTGGTGTTGATTCCCTGACTGCCTTGAAATGTTCAGCTTACACTTGCTGTGCTTAGACAGTGTAATGCCTCTGGTATCCTGCTGCTAGTTCACTCAAGGAAAACTGCAGTCTTGATATGTGTGCCTCAGTGTAAGCTTTTATGTACACTTGCTGAGGTGAGGCCAGGGTAGAGAGAAGGAATTGCTCCTGTTTTTTAGCTTGAAGCTTGGCTAGAGTTAAAGGGTTGAAAAGTATCAGATTACTTCAGGGTAATTACATTGTTAATAAAAAGTAGATTTTAAATTAAAAAAAAAAACCAAACCAACACGTTACTTTATAACCTGCTTAATTTTCAGTGCTCTGATTGGAATGTGTTTCCAGCAGGTATCAACATACTGAAATAGAGTGTAATTAAAAACTGCATTAATTGATCAACTGTACAAAGCTAAGTTCATTTATTTGTGTGGTGCAGCTGGTCTCATTTGTTCCTACTTGGGAGGCTCCTGGAGAGCAAGAATCCTTTGTGCTATGGGATTTTCTTCTTCTCATTCTCCCCTCCCACCAACTTTGGGAAAATGATCTATCTCATGCAGAAGTAAATCCAGAATAGGAGACAGTGCCTTGACTGTTCTCACTACTTTTCTGGCACAACAGTTTTATCAGTCTTCTCTCCTCTCCCTAGAACAGGGTCAATGACCTATTTTTAGTGACAGGTATAAGATGTGCAAAGAAAAATGCTGGCCACGCAGTGTTCACTGTGGAGTGGTACTGTCATCCTTCTTGCAAAAGGGGGCATCCCAGGTTTCCTGTAAAGAAGGTACTTCTGGTACTCCTCAGGCTGCTTTGCTTCGCCTGGATTTTTCAGATCAAGTTTTGGACAGAAATGTTAGTTATTATTTCTAGCTGAACAATTGCCAGCTTCTCTTTCTCACCATAGCTATGTGAGTGCAGCCTGTGTAGACTTTCTTAACTGCTGGAGCAGTGCAGTGAGCTGCTGGTGTAAGCAGCTGGCATCTCAGAATGACTTGTGCAACTGGTGCCTATGTAACGTTCTGCTTTTGGGCTTGCACTGGCAGCAACATTGTGCTGGCCCAGTTCATTCACAAGGTGTGCATTTGTTCTTTGTTGACTTTAGGTCTTGCTAACCACAGACATTTTGTTTGTCTTGGGTGACTACGAGGCAGGTTTTATGCAGCCGTCGCTAAAGTATTTGTGCAATAATGATTTTGGAGAGACACTGTTGCTGCTTTTGTTGTCAGTAGTATTTAAACATCTGGCTGCTCTGTCATTGAAGGTGGCAAAATAGATCCATTAGACTTTAGTACTTATTCACCATGCATTTGCCCCCACATACGCTGTAAGGCTGAGCTGGCAATCTGCTCTGGGTATGTTAGTTCCAGCTGCTTGGTCAGCCTGATCCTGAGCCACATATGAACAGAAGTGAGCATGGTATTCTGAATTCGGATGGAAAGCTTTTTGCTGTCCCGGTGCTTTCACTGCTTGCTGGCTGGCCCTGATAGACCAGTACTGAACCAGCTGTGATGGCTCTGAGTAGCTGAACAGCTGTCACAGGGGATGTTGCAAAGTCAGCAAGTTGTTTGTGCTTTTGTTTTTCTTTTAATTTTCTTTTTTACTTTGAGTCAGGTTAGAAACCATTTTTCTGGAGTTGCCCAGAGCTTAGCAGTGTTCATTGAAACCATCATCAGTTTGCACATGGCAAATCTGATGTATTACGTTTCTGTGTAATGTTGAGTATCAAGAGTGCCTTGAAGTTTGGGAGGAGTATTACATGAGACATTCAATTCAAAGTTAGTGCGCTGAGTGAGTGAGGTGGTTACGGGTGATACAAGCAGGTGTATTCTGCTCCAGCTCAGTTCAACATGTGTGTTGAAACAAATGCATAAACTTTTAGTGCTTCAGAGGTTCTCTGTGGGAGTCAAGTGAAAATGTTTGCCTAAGATGGATTTGTCCAGGAGGTTACTACAACTGAAGTGTGTGATGGGGGAGATAACAGGAGTGAAATTGTCCTATGGAAATCAGAGTTGGCAGTAACTGTAATCTTCTCAGGGGTTCTTGATGTATTTAGGGTCTTGGGGGGCTGACAAACTCCTGACCTTGGTGAGCGCTGCTCTGGTGTTAGATCCTGTGGTAAATCTATTTGTGAGGATACTAGTGTGGGGGGAAAAACACACAAAATGCCAAAAATCTGAGTCTGTGTCCTCATCTGCCAGAGTCCCTGACTGCTTTCATTTTCTTGTGTAATGTTCAGCAGTCAGCTGGGTGAATAATCCTATTATTTCACCTCCTTTCCATGCAGAAAATTGGGGACTCGTACCGCGGCTATTGTGTGAGCGAGGCAGAATTAGAGAGTGTTCTAACGCTACACAAGCAGCAAACACAAAGTGTGTGGGGGACGCGCCAGTCTCCAAGCCCAGCCAAACCCGCCACACGGTTGATGTGGAAATCTCAGTATGTCCCATATGATGGGATCCCCTTTGTCAATGCAGGTAACTAACTTTTCTTTTAATAACTGCTTTCAAAATTTCAACATCAGTTGCCAACTGGCCATAAAGAAGGATCTTTATGGTGTTCCTTAGCTTTGATAAAGTCAAGGCACAAACATAAAAAAAGAGCGTGTTGGGTGACATAGTCTGAAGGAGCCTGTTTCCCTGAAACCACAGGCTTATGTTTTGTTGTGATTAATTCCTTTTGTTCTTTAGAAATAAATTAGCTAAGTACCATTTTGTTGGGGTTCTTGTGATGAGATCTTTTAGGTGGAGGACCTGTCTGCTCTATCAGGATGTGAGAGTTCTCATAAGGGTAAGAGCTTGTTTGAGTATTCTTGCCTAACTTGGAGATCCTTTGAAGAGTTTGTTCCACAGAAGCCAATAAACTATTTATATGGCACCCTTTAAAAAAAAATTAATTTAAAAAGCAAAATAAAAATCAACATACCTCAGACAGATTTAAAAAAAAAAAGTGCAGACTTCACAGGTCGGTAATTGCATACTTAGCTCATGCCATGCATATGTGGAATTACCAAGAGTTCATTTGGATATGAAATGAACAGGTTTTAAATTGTTACATGGAGATCATGAATAACTGGAATGGAGGTTATGTGCTTGGTTTTTTTCTTTTTTTTTTTTTTCTGAAAGTGAAAAAGTGAAATGTTAGCACCAGTTTTAAAGCTTCAGCTGTAAACTGTGAGGTATAAGAAAGCTAAGAACGAAGCCAAAACAACTTACACTTATTTTTTCTGCAAAATGCATATGAGACATCTTTAGTTTTCTGTAAGATCTGCCTGATAAATGAGTTGCTCCACAGTAAGATACTTGGAGTAAAAACACATGTAGATTTTTTTTTTCTTTGAAGTGTTGTATACTAATAGAGGCTCAGATAATTAAGTTGTAATATTTTTTGTTTTGCTCAGATCCCCAAACAGGCATTATGTATGTTTCTTACACGTTTAGATTTAGTTTATAACTCCTCTATGAAATTCATTGAAATCCTTTACACCTGTAGAGCGGAGGCTGTTAAATATGATTTGCTGAAGTGCAGTTTAAATCCCAGATAACTGAATTCTAAGCTGTGCAGGACAAAAGCGTTGTTCTTGAGGAATTTATCCCTTCTGCATAAGTGGAACCAATCTGTAATACCTTCCCTGCTGCGCTTCAGCTGTGGGGAAATATAGAGAAGCTGGGTAGCTCCCAACGGAGTAGAACATGCACTAATCATCAAAATCTTGATTGTTATTTTTAATAAGAATTCTGGATAGTTGGTAGTTCTGTAAAACAAGGGCCCCATCAAATTGCTTTTGAGAGTCATATTAGCAAGGACTAGTTTAAAGGTGGTGAAATCTTTTCAATCCTAAAACTTTGATTTTAATTTTGTTTTTTAAAAAAGAGCCAAGATATCTGTATGTTATACATGATTCTGTTTTAAAATTCCTATTTCTTTATTTGCATTGATTTTTTAAATTTTTTTTAATTTTTTTTTTAATGTCACACTCTAAGGCAATAAATCATTGGGTATCTTATGGAAACACATTATGTTGCTGTTGTGATACTTAAAAGGTTTTGGTTATGTCACTTGTGGTATAGGCAGGTTCTTGCCTTCATACTGGAGTATATGAATTATAAAAGATAACTAAACATGATGTGAAAGAAATTTGGAAGAAGTTCCTTTCTGGACCACTTTAATGCTATGCCTGTTACCCTTTTTGTTAGAGGTCTGACTGGAAGTCACTTACTTCAAGTTTAGAGCTAAGCAATATTTGGTTAAGCCCATGTGGTTTTGTGTGTGTATGCCACACTGAAACAGTGTTATTTAACAGGTAAGATAGGTCAGACTTGCAAATAAGAATTTATGGGACAGCATGGTCTGAAGTATTGATTTAAGACAGGAGGCTGGAAATAGCTGCTGACCTTTGATTTCAGCTGTGGATTTTCTCGGTTATTTTGGGGATTCTGCTTCTCTTATGTTTACTACCAGCATTGTGCTCCTTTGGTAACTTACAAGGCTGTTGTAACATATTGGCGTTCACCAGGGCAGAATCCAGTATTTTGCCTTCATATATATTGCAGGAATGTTGTGAGGTGTAATAAGTTTGGGAAATGCTTTGAAAATGCTCTGTGTTCCTTACATGCTTTGAGAGAAGCATTTGCACTGTATTTGAATGCTTGCTACACTTAAGTGTTCTGCCTTCTGAAGAGTCTGATGGTAAACAGAAATAACTGTTTTGGAACTCTCATCTTCTCTGTAGTTACTGTGTTACTGTAAGGGCTTCAGCGGTTGCTTGAATAAATAGAGTGCATTACTTTCTGTTCCCAGGAAGCAGAGCCATTGTAATGGAGTGCCAATATGGGCCAAGAAGGAAAGGGTTCCAGCCCAAAAAAGCTGGTGAGCAGGAAAGCGCCTCTGGCCATCTGTACAAAGCTACTTGTCCAGCAAGGTAAGAACGGTCTATAAAGCTCAGCATCCTAAGAAAGCGTTCTTTCTGTGAGCCTTAACAGAGCACTGTTTGGGGGTGGTAGCTGATATGCACCGTAGCTCTTGGCTTCGTTTCCGTGATAACTTGAGGTTGATACTCATTTAGAGGGAAGGAGGAAATGCTGTCCTGTTAAACTGAATAAGGCTGAGATTTGATAGGTTACCTGGATGCAAAGTATCAGTACATCAGGGTATGAAATACAAGTGTGAATCATTCTTTACCTGAGCATTAGTTAGTTATGGTGGTTACCATTTTTAGTCACATTTGTTGTTTTTCCTTCAGGCTTTTAATTGCACTCATATCAGTCAATCATTCTAATTTTGCAGATGTCCTATTTGCTGAAGGGGTTATAGTTCTTCCTGTTCACTGGGGACTTTCTCCTTATCCAACACTAATAGTTTTTTTCCTTGGCCTTGAGCATTCAGTTTTGTTGAGTTCACTGAGTGCTTGTTCAGTTTTTATTGAGCTAAGAGTGTGTTTACCTGGACAGTTGCAGCTAGGTATGTATGTGCTCAGTTCTGGCTTCAAGCTGGGTGAACTACAGCCTGTTCAGCAATGGTGGTGTGCTTTTATTATACTGAGGGGCAGAGGATTTTTGCTGAGGTGCAAAATCACTCTGGCTGAGTGGCTTTCAGGCTGGAACAGAAGTGTGTCTATCTGTATCCATCTGCATCCGTCTCTGATGTATCCTACAGTTCCCTTAGAGGCTCCTCACCCCCTGCAACACTCTGCTTGAAATTTTTCTATGCTAATATCTGATACGAAGTAGGTGGGGTTTTTGCCTTCCCCCCTGAGGGCAAAGTGTACTGAAGGAGAATTTAATTCTTTTTTATTCCCCCTGTACCTTGGAAGGATCTATATTAAAAAGGTTCAAAAGTTTCCGGAATACAGAGTTCCTACTGACCCTAAAATTGACAAGAAAATAATAAGAATGGAGCAGGAGAAAGCATTCAACATGCTGAAGAAGAACTTGATAGATGCTGGCGGTGTCCTCAGGTGAAACTTCCACTTTGTTCTTTATCTTAACAAATGAAGCAAAAAAGAACAATAATTTGCTTGGTTTGCTTTATTTTTTACTTAGACACCTTATTAAGAATCTTGCTTAGTATCAGTAGTAAAAAATCCCACAGTGTCAGTAAGACTTCTGTGGCTCTGGAGTGTTTAGTTTGGTAAATGTGTTAAGCACCAAGCTGTGGAACTTCATCAGATGTTTTCATGCAGGGCACAGATAGAAATAGTTGTTGTATTTGGGGGGTGGAGGTGGTTTATTTTGCCTTGAAAGATGTGAGGGCCTTGAGCTCTAAAAGGCAGTATCTTCCAGCTCAGGGGCTGTAAAAACTTAAGTCGCTCTAAATAGGTTTTTTGTGATTGTCAGATTGTTCCACTAAGAGACTCATTTTTTTGCGAATTGTGTGTAGAAACTCCTTTTTTCTTGGCAGGTGGTATGTACAGTTACCCACTCAGCAAGCCCACCAATACCATGAAATGGAAACATCCTGCCTTCCTCCTTCACCATCCCATTTTTCTGTGTCTTCTCCTGAGGAGGAGGAGGAAGTTGTTAGGGATGAGAACTGTACTCTGCCTTCCCGACTTCATCCTCAAGTGGCAGACAAGATCCGAGAACTGGTGTCTCAGGGAATAGAGCAGGTCTATGCAGTGAGGAAGCAACTAAGGTACAGAGCTGTCTGGTGGGATCTTAGTCTGTAGTGCTATATCCACTTTTGCGTTTGATTAATTTGGTTTGCAACTAAATGGCAGTGATGATGCATTACTGAATATCTTTCCCATGTGTCATAAGAATCTGTTTTTCCCAGCTTTTGTCTTCTCTTTTCATTTTGTTATAGGTAGGCACTAAGAGCTGCTGTCCTCTTTAAAGTTAGTTGAATAACTGGGGATTTTTAATTCCAAACTCTGTAGCAGATGCACAAAGAACTGGGTCAGAATATCATCTAGCTTGCTCTTGTCTTGTCATTGCAACAAGGGGAGGGAGAAGGTAGCAGTGTCTATAACAGAGGGAAATAGCATAATGTATTTTAAATACGCATATTTTAATATCCTTTAACATGTGACAGAAAGTATGTGGAAAGAGAATTATTCAAGCCTGATGAAGTGCCAGAAAGACATAACCTGTCCTTCTTCCCCACTGTGAATGACATCAAGAACCACATTCATGAAGTGCAGAAATCCCTGAGGAATGGCGAGATGGTGTATAATTCAGAAAGTATCCCAGCAACGGTACGTTGGCCGCTGTGTTTCTTTTTGATTTTGAGTTAAATACTGGAAATCTTATTTTTAATTTTTACCACTTAGCTGTATTTCATCCAGAATTCTCTATGATTTCCAGCAGCAATATTTTCAGTGGAATCTCTGGATGAGAAAGATTGGATTAAATGTGAATAAAACCTTCTGACATTATTCGGTATTTATCTCATCAGTGTTAGTTTGCTATTAGTTGATAAATTACACAGTACTAGCGCTTCAGGATGACTGCATGAACTGGAAGCCATGTGGTGTAGAAAAATTGGCACACATCAGAAAATTTTATTCATGACTCTGTTGTTGTCTGTGTTTTGGAGAAGTTATTACTACTTTTCTGTATCTGAAAAATGGGGGTGAAGAATGTCTCAGGTGCAGCCTAAATTAGGGCTTGCAAAACATTTTGAATGTGTAAATATTAATAAGTGCAAGTGAAGTAAGCATGAAGTAGCTACTTCAGAATGCTCAGTAACTCGATAAGTGTTGTTCCTTTATTTTCTTCCACCTATTGAGTAATAAGGGAAGCACAGTGATCCTAGTTTTCCCAATTATGAGGCTGACTGCTAAGGAATTGCTGATTTAAAATCAGTTTTTCCAAACTGTACTGTTAAATCATGTTGTGTCATCAGTCTTTTCCCCCTCCCTACACTGCTCTTGGCCCAGGTAAGTGGGCGATACTTATTAGCCAAATAGTTTAACTGGTTTCTATTTTAAAGTCTTTGAACTGTCATGAGCAGACTTTGCCCTTCCTGGTATAATGCATGTTAAAAAATCTTTTACAGTTTGGTTTTTTTTTTTTTTTTGTAAACCAAGAGCTCCCAAAATGCATAGTTATAAGAAAATAAGAAAGTGTAGTTTTAGACACTGTTTTCCTACGGGTCCTGTATTGAGCCTATGTTCCTGTATTAGACAAACTTGCACCCTTTCTGAAAACTGAGGTCTTTTTTCTTTCAGCTGCAGTGGACTACAGACAGTGGGAATGTTCTCACAGAAACAGTGACTGTTACGTTTGCATCACCACTTTCAGATGGTAGGACTGCATTAATAACTTAGCTGTCTCCAAATGTGATTTGTGTTATTAGTTATGTCACAGAAGTTCAGTTTCCTTCCAGAGAGGTTGCTGTCATGTTCTGTCACTCAGCTCAACTTAAGAAGGATTATTTTGGCATGTGTGCTTTGGCATGCTTTTTAAAAACTATTTCACTGCATTTGTGGAAAGATACACGTAGTTGTGATGGGGTTGGCAGAAGTATGAAAATTATAAATTTGGCTTTTATTCAGCATCCTCAAGCAACTGAAGATTTTTAACAGGATGGTTTTGTGGAAAGAACGTTTTGCCTTGGATGAAGGTGCTAATAATGCCTGTGCAGACAGAATTAAATTCCTACTGAACAGATATATCTGTTAGGGGACACAATACCCAGGACCCAACTGGGTACTTGAGTTCCTTGATGGTTTGTGCTTCACACGTAATTAAACATCTTGCTAAAAAGGACTTGAATGCATATTGGGATTCTTGTTTCTCACAAAGTCATTGGCTTGATGAGTTCCACTGCTAGGATCAGGCCTTGGAACAACAAACGCTGTATTTCTGTAGTCAGAATTGAGAGCACTCTTTTCCATTTTTCTTAATGCTTAGAATAGAAATAGAAACACAGGTGTTTAGTGGCAGCAGGGCTGTGAGATGTGTTTCTTCTGTTCTTTATTAATGTGTGAAGCCAAAGCAACATCTCTTTCCAGTCATTGCTGAACCACCTAACAAAGTATTAAACTTCCTCCCGCTCTGCTGCAAAGCCAGAGTGTAGGTTTCTGTAGAAACTTGGTTTTATATGTTCGTGTCAAAGGTCTAGTTTTTTTGAGAACACTAGTTACACAATTTTTCCTTTGTTGAAAGTGGGTTCCTGCTACTATTACTTTGACTTCAAAACGTACTAAAACAGAATACAAGGGTTTGTAATTACATCTACTTGCTACCCACGTAGTTTGGATTGCACATAGGCTGAGATGCTCTGCTGGATCATGGTGACTGATAGTAAATTTAAAATGAGGTTATTCTGCCCTTTTCCCCAGGTTTCAAGGATATTTTGTCTAGTGTGACACCAAAAGAACTTTCTTGCGTGTTTGTGGATGCTTTCCCTATCCCTTGTTTAATAAGTTTGATATGAAAGTCATCAGAAAAATTGTTGGCTTTTAGCAGGGATATGATTGCAGCAAGGTGGAAGGGCCTAATTTGTTTGCATACATTAAGATAATGCTGCAGACTTCTTAGATGTTTTTAATCCCAGTGGCACTGCCAGCTTGTTTCCTCATTTAATTGGAACATGGTGGTGTGTACTTTTTGTTCCAGACAACTGATAGAGAAGTCTACAGGGACCAAAGAGGCAGTGCCACAGTTGTCAGATTTAAAGATTTACTCATGTTGACAGTTATCCTCCACTGTGGTTCTTGCCTGAAGTCCTGATGTGTTTGGGTTTCTTTCCTCTTTGGCCCCTGTCACCCCTTCATCTGTCTCTTATCTTTGTTGTAGCAGGAAAAAACCTACCCCAAGCTTTGGCTCACTGTGTGATTTCTCATAAATGACTTGGTGAACCTGATTTACGTGGAGCAGTTCCATGTACACCAATGCATTTACAGTTAATAAAAAGGCCAATGTTTGGCTTTTTGTTTGGGATTTTTTTAACTCTTATTTTAGTTATTGCTGCAGTGGATCAATTTGAACTGAAAAGCATCACGTACACTTGGTGCACATAGGGTAAGAATTTCAGTGTTGACAACTGTCAGAGGACAAGAGGTGAATTTTCAGGCTCAATTTGAATTGTGTCCCTCTTTTTTAAGGAAGTCGGTTTTTTAGGGGGAAAAAAAAGGAATTTGCAATAGGAGCAGACTTACTGTTCTTAAGCCTCCGTGTCTATGTTAATATTTCCATTGCTGTACTTTTATGGAGAGACACGGAGTAGTTGTGCCTTTGACAGCTGTGATAGAGCTCAGCAGGGATGACTTTTGGTATGAACTGTCTGAATGCTGGAAAAGGTTCAGGAAGACCAATTCTTGTTTTCTTTTTCTTTCACAGATAATTTTCTAAGGCAGAGTAGCCTATCAAATGTGTGAACTTTAACCCAGTGACATACTGAGTTTTAAAGGAAGCTAGAGAATTGGATTTGGTTAGTTTTCTGCACATGTACACCAATTCATTGAATATAAGCAGATATTCTAATTCCGGCATATCTTGTCTCCACTTAAATATGTGGGTATGTGTTTGTACACATTGCAAAGACATGTTTGTAACTATTACAAGTCTAAGCGAAAAAAGAAGCCTGACTCTGAAAAGTACTCTCATTAAAGTATGTGAAGTGGTAGCAAGGAAAAACAACACTGACTTTTCAAACTACTGTTTGCATACATTTTTTTTCATTTCAGCTTATACTGAATAGGGACAAATTTACATTTAAGAAATTAAACAATAACAGAATTAAACCCAGCTGTTTGTTTTCTTGTTGTGCAGAATTCCATATCTCCATGCAATACAGCTTTAGCTTTCTCTGTTCTCTCCTAGGTGTAAGAATCACTGTAACTATCAAACTTTTATATCTTATATGAAGTATAATGTCAAGTGAGATAAAGTATCCAGTTATTTTTATTTTAGGCCAGTTTGGCCTAAACCATGACACTTTTAAATTTCTGGCATTCATACTGAATGCCGATGCAGTGTAACAAGTTGGGTAGATTAGGAACTTTAGTCCTAGGCATGTTGGTGTAGAATACAATCTGAGGAAAGAACTACCATCTCTTCCTGCATGTGAATACTCACGTAGGCATACAGGATCTCTGTATAGTATTAAAAAGAGCCTAAATATTTGAAGTAGTTGTGTTCAAGGAGATTTATAGAGTGTATCTTATGGTCAGTTACAATGAAGAGTTAGAGCCTGCAAATCTGTATATATGTTGAAAAATGTATCTCTGCTCACTCAGACTGATGGAAGCTTTTGTATGATTTCCTGCTAGAAAGCTTTTTGTGGTTGACCATCCTCAATTTTTTTCCATTCACCAAGCTAATCTACATGCACAGGGCTCTTCTTTTACAGTTACAGCAGTGAAACTGCAAAATAAGAGGCTAAGCAGTGTCTACTTGTGTCTGGATAAATCTTATCCAAAATGTTCTGGGTGGCTCAAACAGGAAATGGAATAATCCCATAGGAAGTTTCCTTGCAGAAATTGCTACCAGTGAATCTCCATTTTTACAAGTCTTCAGGAAATTAAATCTGTCATGCTTGCATTAAATCAGAATTTTGAGGATATGATGTAATCTGTAGGCTGAAAGGCCTCCAGATAAATGGAATTTTCATGTGATATTGCGTAGAAGTTATCCTAATTCCACAAAGATGTTTGGAAGGGAGTGGTGAGACACAGACGATTTCCTTTTTAGTTTTTTATTTTGGAAGACAAACAACACTTTTGATGCCTGTCTGTTATTGAGACCTTACTGAGGTGTATGTATTGTCAAATTATTTGATTGCCGCTTTGATAGAAATATCTCAGCTTTTACGTTATAACTAGAAATTCAAAGCGTGGGGTAGGTTGCAATTACTTTACTCTCCAAAATGGATTTATTGGTGCTTCTTTTTTTACTCTGAACAGGCACATACATTCTTCCTACAGCATTGTCTTTTTCTCATACACAGACTTTTTCTTTAGCATCCAAGGTCTTCTGCAAAGAGAACAACATATATGTAATATACATGTCTTCTACATGTCTACATTGAGATTGAAGGAGTTTGTTCAGTTTGCAGGGGAGGGTTTTAAACGGGAAGAAGAAATTTGTCATAACTGTGTGCTTCCTCTCTGTGGCACTGCAGGGAGCTCAGCAGGGGAGTCAGTCGTCACCAAAGCAGAATCCAACCAGAGCGGGGAGTCCTTGCTACCAGAAACAGCACAGCTGTTGTCTTCACTCTCTTCACTTCAGCCCAAGATATTTGCACAACTTCAGGTACAGTCAGGTCCTTCACAGAACGTCAAACATTCTGTGCTGGAAATGCTGAAGGCGAGCTGAGAATAGCAAGTTCTCTCCCAGCTCATGATCCCAAACACTGACTAGGTAACACCGACTCTGAAATAGCTGTCAACTCTTACTTTTGCCTCTCTTGCATGTCACATTTAGCACATAGCTGTGGCACAGGAGATCCCATTACCATCTTGGGATGCTTTGACATTAGGGTCTCTTGTGAAGGCAAACCCAAGAAGTTCAAGGTAGTGGGCTTCTGCCTCAAACCAGGCACCTATTCATTTTCCAAGTGGTCCAGTAATTTCATTATGAAAATGTTGCAAAACTGAGGGGAGAGATAAGTCGGTCTGTCTTACTCCTTTTAAATCCTCCTCCAGCCTCTTCAGAAAGCATGTTAAAATCCTAGAACTGCTCCCAGCTCAGATCTGAAAACTTCCAGGTTAAAAGGCTGAAGAGCAGGGATAAGAATGTCATGCTAAAAGAGCTTCTTCTAAAGCTAATCTCCCTTCAAAGCTGGCTCTCTTAGCCTTCTTCCCTAACTGCTTCTTTTAAAAGCTGCCTTCATACTTCCCGAACCCCAATGAAATGCATGATCCCTTCCCTAGAAATACAGTAAAGTGCTATTCTACTTACTGTTTCCCGCTCTATGAAGACAGCCTGGATCCATCTCACTGTCCTTTTTTTTAAGCAGTATGCTTAGGTTTTAATGCCCACCTCTTGTGGGAATGGGCAGTATTGGGGAATGATTTGAAACTGAATATCAATCCAAAATTGGACCTTTGTGGTCATTAAGTAGTCTTCTGGATGCTGCTGGATACCATTGTCCTAATTGTTTTCTAATACGACTTTAGCCTAGGGTTGCTGGGATTGACTGTTCAAAAGAGATGATGTATAGGAATTCAGAAGCTATCCAGTTCCATCAGTGCAAAATACGTGCCATTAAATGCAAATTCCTCCTGCTGCAAATACTGGTATGTTACTACTTCTGCCTTCTCTTTCACAGGGATTACAGCTGCAGTCAACTTTTACCTCCACAAATGGATCAACGGCCCTGATAGCTGTAAATAACCATTCCCCTCCCAGCCCTGCAAGTCTCCTGGATTCCATAGGGAGTGCAATAAGCAACCATTCTCTAGTACTTAGTCAGGGACACAGTCTGCAAGCAGGTGCTGGCCTAACAGAGCATAGCGCTGCTGCCTCTGCTTTTGGGACTCTGCCTGGCTCTGATCAGAGCCTGGTCACCATGGGCCAATTGGTAGCAGTTGGAGGGGTAGATGACTCCAGAAGCCTAGAAGGAGGAGTCCATCAGATTCTTCTGGGAGATGTACAGAGTATTCCAGTACGGATTGTGGACAGCCATCCAGCACTTAGTAAGTTGCAGTCTTCCCAATAGTATGTAAATATAGAAAACACGGTGGATTTTGTTCTGTGTGTCTTGAAGAAAGGAGAGAAATATCTTAATAATAGAGAACTCCAGGTGATTCTAATTAGTTTTTCCTGGGAAAACATGCAGACTGAAAAAAAAAAAAAAACCAACAAGAAACCCCAAACCTAAAACAAACAAAAAACCCCCAAACCCCCCAAAAACTCCCCAAGTTAGTTTTTGCTGTGAAAAGATGACTTCTTAATTAAACTGCTTATGACTTTCTTTGACCAAATACCAACTTATTTGATGAAAACAATACTTTTGCCAAAAATCCTAATATTTAGCTAAAATTATGATCTTCAAATTAATTTTTAAAAAGAAAAATAAGAATATAAAATAACTAATATTATATCTAGTTAGGATTCTTCAGAAAGAAATGTGGGGTTTTTTGTGTCTTCTTTCTTTGCACCATCCCAGCAGATGTCTGAATTTTTTTAATAAACTTTTGCTAGGATCCTGTAGTCATCAGTATACTTTAGCAGTGATCAGTTCAAGTTGTATGTAATTGCTTGGAATTTCAAACTTGGGTTTGAAAATACTTTTTAAAAAAATACAATAAACACCATAAATAAATTTCTATCAAAATAGAAGGCTCCTTAAAACCATTGTTATCAAATATAGATAGTCTTTGAATTCTCAACCGTGGAACCTGATTGAGAATGAAAGCTTGCATTCTGAAAGAATGATTTCTAATTCTTGGTGAAGAAAACCTATTAGATATGGAGCATATGTAGATCAGTGCAACATATCCTTTTGACTTTCTGGAGAGTCTGAAATGTTACCTGTGCAATGCTTTATTATTTCTCTATTATCTTTCTTTGTCATATATGACTTCTAAAAAGATGACTCTTGAATAAGTTTGCAGGAACATCTATGTAAAGATGTGCTAGATCATAGCCTGCCCCTTCATAATGCCATAGCAATAATCACCTCCATATGTCCTGATGACTTTTGCAGGTCAGCAAAATGTAATTTGTACTAAATTCTGTAGTATTCTGAAAATGAAAATATAAGACTACATGAAGAAATAAAAATAAAATAAAGCATACACGAGGAAATATACTGAAATTCATATGTGTCAAAGTAGTATTGGGATATTTTACTGTGGCATTATTGTCAATGTTAAATTTAAAGGGTTTTCTGCCTGCTGTACTCAAATATTTGTGTAATTGGTTGTTTTCCCTTTTAATATTGAATTTGACTTATCTCTTGAGAAATTCTGTTTTCATTCAGGATAAAAGAATTTCAGAGAGGTTATCAAATGCACCTCCTCCGTTTAGTTGTTTAACCCATTAGATGTTGATGCCTCTCAAAAATTTTTGTAAGTGATGAGTGTTGTGAGTGAATTTTCAAAGAAATACTATTTTACACAAAAAAGAAATGTAGTCAAATAGAAAATACTATAACTGCAAGAACTAAACTCACTGTTCCTTTGGGATTTCCTTTTTCTTCTGCTCAAGGGCTCAGTCTATCATCACCAGCTTGAATTTGGCAACTGTGAGAATATTGGTACCATTCCTAAGTTATGTGGAAGAGTTACCTATAAAATACACAGACACTTTCTCTTTTTCAGAGGCAAGTTCTTTGCCTGGAGAGGAGGACAAAAACCAGTATAGACTGAAGAGGGAATAATGTTAGAGAGCTTATTTGGAGGAAACACCATATACTTGAACTTAGCAGTTCAGTCAGTGTGTATTTCAAGATATTTTTCTCTCCTGTGTGTGTACATATGCTTATGCACATGCATGCTTGGTTAAAATTATCCTGTATGTTCTGGATTTTCTCTTGTCCGAGTGCCAACTTCAGAATAAG